TCAACAAATATGTACTGAGTTATTATATGGCAGGCATAGTGGTGGGCATGGGATACAGAGATGTCCGAAGGCAAGGTTCCTGCCTTCTTGGAGCTTATAGTCTGAATTGGGGATATGGTAAGTAAAGGAGATCATATCCAAGAGTGACATGTGCTCCAGAGGAATAAGAAGGAATAATGGGATAGAAAGTGATTGGGGTGGGGGCTACTTTTGGTGGGTGGTAGTAAGAACAGGCTTTTTTGAGGAAATGGCATTTGAGTTGAAACTGATGAAAAAAATGCATAGATCTGTGCTTCCCAAATGGTAGTTCGAGAACAAAATTCAGATCCCCAGGCCCCTCCCTAGACTTAGCAAATGAAAATGTTAGGGGCAGGGCCCAGGAATCTGCATTTTTCTTCCAAGAATGATTCCCATGTACACTAAAGCTGGACATCTACTGCCCGGGACTTTTTACTTTTAGAGAGCATCACATCTGATGAACTTCAGGGTCCCTTATAACTCCCAGGGCCTGTGGTTCAGGGAAAGGGAAGTTCTCATTCGTGCGTAAGGGCCAGGCTCGGAAGGGAAGAAGGACCGCTTCTGGTTGGATGGCAGGATGACAGGATGCAGAACAATGAGCAAGCACAGCTCCTCACACACCAAGGAAGGGCCCTGCCTCTGGCCGATCTCTGAGATGGTCACCCTCATCCCTGCTCCCACTCCCTCCAAGACTGTGAGGGTTACAGCCTTCGCGGCCTGGATTAGGTGTTAGATCGGTAGCTTGCTTTGGTGGATGCCCCCTCTGCAGGCCTAGTTTATGACCCTGGGCCTTGGTTGCCTGTGTCTCCCCACCCCCACCCCATGTGGTACAGAGCTCTTTACCCTCTGGGCACTCAGACCTGCTTGGCAACTGACTCCCTGGGAGTGCGGGGGTTTTACACCAGCGAGAGCTGTAAGTAAGAACACACACTTAATTACAAAGGACACAGGAGCCATGGGTCTGTCCAGTCTTTAGTCTCTCCCAGCCTGTGTGGTGGGGGCCCAGGTTCCCCCAGGGAGCAAGAAAAACCAAGAAACCTGTTGTGTTTACCTACAAATGCTCTGTATCCCCTCTTCACCTCCACTTCCAGGTCTGTAGGTCCCGCCTTCCCTGGCCTCAGTTTCCCCATCTTTTCAATAGGAGGAAACACCGGAATTTCTTTGGGAGCAGAGAAAGGGGGGAGGGGCGGTTTGCTTTAAAAGGAGCTCTCCTCTCATCTTCTGATCGCCTTACTACTCCCGTGCCGCCCGCGGTCTTCTCCAGCTGGGGCACGTGCGGTCCCCTGCCCCCGGGAGCGCCTTCCCACGCCAGTGGCGGGGCTCACTGTCCTCTGGTGTCACGGTCAGTTCAGGGAGGAGGAAGAGGTGGCGGCAAGGTCGCAACCCGCGGCTCCGCACTGCCCCCGCCCAGTTTCCCGCGGTGCTTTCTCAGCCTGCCCAGTAACCCGCGGCCCTACGCGCCCCGCGGCCCTACGCGCCCCGCGGCCCTCGGCGCCCGCCCGCCGGCCGGTCCGGGCACGTTGGAGCCGCGCACAGGCGCCACTGCCGAGCGGAGAAAGCGTTCAGGGCCAAGCCGCCGGACCGCCACGCGCGGAGGCGGCGAGCGAGGGGCGGCTCCTATGCGGCACATGTGTGGCGGCGCGGCCCCCAGGCCCAGGTGAGAGAGCGCTATGGGGCAGGCGGGCTGCAAGAGGCTCTCCCAGGCGCTGTTCGACTACAAGACCGAGAAGTATGTCATCGCCAAGAACAAGAAGGTGGGCCTGCTCTACCGGCTGCTGCAGGTCTCCATCCTGACCTACCTGGTGGCGTGAGTGCTGGGGGTTGGGGCGCGGAACTTGCGGGAAGGTGGGGGAGGTGTGGGGGGCCAGCAGCTGTGGTCTCTCTCCTGGGTCCAGGAATGGGCCTGTGTACATATGGTGTTTTCTGTTGGTGGGGGATCTGGGACCCTGCTTGAGAGGAGGCCCTCTCTGAGCCCTTGGGTATAAGGGTTGGGGGCTAAGGGAGGGGGCCCTCCACTCCCAGGACAACGGCTCTGGAGGTGATGAGATACAGCAGGGGCTTTTTTCCCCCCATCTATGAGGCTTTCCCTGAGCAGCTCCCTCCTCCAGGCCTGGAGCCCCCAGTACAAGGGCTGTGGAAAGGGGGCAAGGATGTAGGGGGGCTGGGCTGCAGCTGTCGCCCCGGCAGCCTCCCACACCGAGTAGGTTATTTATAATCACTGAGCTCAGAGCCAAGCGTAGGGCTGGGGCAACTCATGAGTCTGGCATGTCCCTCTGATCAACTCGCCCCACCGGTGGCTGGCTTCTCTGGTATCCAGCTGGGGGTCCTGCCCAGCGGCCTTCTGCCTGCGCCCACACACACCTCCTCCCCATCTGGCAGGAGCTGACATGGTCAGCAGAGGGCAGCTCCTTGGGGTTGCCCAGTCACTGTTCAGAGCCCTCACCCCAAGTAGGAAGGGAACAGGTGGAAGGAGGAAATGACAGCAGAGGACTGGGATGCAGAGATTCCTCTTTTAGTCCTTCAGTAAATGCTGTTGAGTCCCTCCTATTTCCTGATTTGGGGAGGAGCAACTCCTGGGAGGGCAGCCCTGACCTCACCTGGAGGCCAAACAACTGGCATTCCCCCAGCTTCATCCTTAAGGCACCTGGCTGTCTCCCACCTGAGGGCCTTTGGACATGCGGTTCATCAGCCAGGCATGCCTTCCCTCCTCTACTTGGGCAGCGCCCACTCATCCTTCTGGACTGGGCTCTCCCACAATCCCCTCTCCTTTCCCTCCCACATGTCAGGTGATTTTCCACAGTGTAATTATATGCTTGTTTGGGTGACCATTTGCTTAATGTCTGTGTCCGTCTCCCCACCAAACTGAGGATGCCATGAGGATGGAGCCTGGTGTCACCTAACTGTTTGGGCAATAGATGAGTTGAACGAGTGAGTGAATGAGTGAATGAATGTTGTTCCTTGAGTATTTGCTGAATGTTCCTGTCCAGGCTGGGCCCAGTGTGTCCCTACCAAAATGGCTGGTTGACTCAAGGGTCACAGCCCTCTCAGAGCTCCTTAGAGACAGGGCAACTTAGAGCCCAGGACATGCCAGCTCTGCCCCCAGAGATGAAGAGTGTGGACACATTTTGGTTGGCACCTGCTATACAGAGAACACTTACTGGCACCCTGGGAGGTGCAGGGCATCCCACACCACTACTGCCTGACCTCAGGCAGGTGCCTGGCCTCTCCTCGCCTAAGTTTTCCCAACTTTCCCAAGGGAAGGTTAACCTGAACAATCTCTAACATTAACAGTAACACCAGCAATAAGTTGATGCGTTATGTTCATTGAGCTCTTCCTCTGTGCCAGGTACTTCTGTGCTAAGCAATTAGCACATACCATATCATTAAAAATATTTTTTGTATTTTGACATAGTTTTAGACTTATAGGGAAGTTACCAGAGTAATACAAAAACCTTTTTAATACCCATCGCCTGGATTCCCCAAATGTTAACATTTTATACATTTGTGTTGTCCTTTTTCCTCTGTGTGTGTGTGCATTTTTTCTGACAGTTCCGAGTAGATTGATGCCCCTTTGCTCTTATATATTTCATTGTGTATTTGTTAAAAATTAGGAATTCTCTTAACCAAGTACAAGTATGAAGACTAGGAGATTAACATTGAAATATTATTATTATCTAAGCTATAGACCTTTTGTAAATTGTCCCAATAATTACCTTTATAGCAAAAGAAAATCTGAGCTCATGCTTTTCTTTCAGTTGTCATGTCTTCTTAAACTCCTTCAATCTAGAATTGTTCCCAAGTCTTTCTCTGTATTTCATGACATTGACATTTTCTGAAGAATACAGGATGTTTTAAAAACACTTTGTAAATTGAGGTAAAATTCACATAGCATANTTTCCCTCTTAGAAGGTTCCTCTTATCCCCTAGAGAATGGGAATTTTTCTTAATTGAAGGGGTGATCTTGTAATTCTGCCTCTAAAGATTCAACCCCATTGCACCATACTTACTCCTTTATAATTGATAAAATTCATAGAAGGAAGAGAGAATGGTATGGGGGAAAGATTGGCATCTGAAGCAGGAGGGTCTGTTTTCCCCTAAGCAGAGCCCCCCAGCACATTTCTTAGTGGGGAGCAGAGAAGACTCTGTCTCTCAATTCAAGACACTTGAGGATCCACTCTGGTTTTTACTGGTCCCTGGAACCAGAGCAGACCTAGATGGCCCCAGGGGTGTATCCAAACCACACAGAACAATAGACCTAGAATGCTGGCAAATTTTTGGGGCAAGTGAGATATGTAAAAAGAAAAAGACCCTTTATAAATTCATTTTATAATTCCCCATCACTTCGCTGCTGAAACCTTAAATCATCCAACTAGACAAAGACTTGAGAACCAGAAGAGAATGGTTCACTCGCTGCCAATCCCTTTCTTTCAGGTGGACAACACCGTAATAAAGCATGATGTGGACTTCTTTATGGGAGGGGAGAGAAGGGGCATGGTGGTGAGGCCGGGAGGAGGCTTTGTTTACTTTGAAGACTAGCCATTCACCCCTGACCCGTGAGCCAGGGAGTGAAGTTTAAGGGCACCCTGTCTGTTCCCAGCATGTCAGGGTGGAGCGCTCAGCCCTGGCAGCAATGGGGGTCGCTGCAAAAGGTGCCGATTCTCTCGACTGACCCTTCACTTATGAGGCATCATGAAAGAGCCCTTTTCTCTTCAAGGAGCACTATACTACCGGGTAAGATGGTTTTGTGCAGGCCCAGGCAGGGCTGATAAGTGATCTGCACACAAAATGTCATCCAGAAGAAGCCTCGGGCTCTAGAGGACAGAGCCCTTGCGTGGATGGCCCAAGGCCTTCTACTAGCCTCAGCTTCTCAGGTGACCTTGGACCTCATTCCATCAAGTATGAAATGGGCTCGACAGTTACCTTTCTGGCCTGGCTCACAGAGTGAATCACATGAGTTGATGTGGAAACTAAGACACTGTGCTCATGGTGACATGGAGACGATTTCTTGGGCTGGCGAGCCAGGTTGCCTGGATTCAATTTCTGGCCCAGAGGCTTACCAGTGGTATGATCACAGACACATCTAGTCTCTTAGGGAAAAATAATAATTGTACCAACTATATAGGGTTGTGACGGTGAAATGAGCCCATACACATAAGGCATAGAGAATAGCGCCTAGCAGGTAGTAAGTATTCCTTGTGGTGGTGATTGTGGTGAAGATGGTCAGGGTGCCCTGGGGCTCTGAGACTGTTGAGATGGGGTTAGGTAGAAGCTGGAGAAACCATCACTCAAAAGCAGCAGGCAGTTTTCTCTCAAAGGGACTATTCATCTTGGTTTAGGGAACATCCCTGACTTGGACTTTTAACGCAAATGTAAAAACAAAGGCTCCTTCTCCCACTTTGGGTGTAGAGGGTATTGGGTCTGACCTTGTGGGGTGGTGAGCTGGCCCCAGCCATGTGGAGGTAGATTGCAGATACTGGGGTTCGCAGCTTGTGAGAAGTGTTTTTCACATTGTTTTTGACCATGACCCACAGGAAGAAATATATTCCACATCATAATGTCATATGTATACGCTCATATGTTAAGCAAAAGTTTTACAAAATCATGACTGCCCTTACTTTCTTAACCAACTGAGCCCCTCAGCCGGCCCCAACCCTTACTTTCTTAAACACATTCTGATATTTTCTATCTTTCCTTTTTTTTTGGCTATGCTGTTGTAACCCAGTAAATTGACATCATGACCCCCCAATGGGTCTGGACCGAGTAGTCTAAGAAGCTGTGCTGTGAGGGAGCCTACAGGAGGGACGGGGGTCTGGCCTGGCCCTGAGAAGAGCCCTTTCCCCTCTGGTCATCCCTCATGTGGTCTCTAAGGCTTCAGGATAGTTCTGTCAAAAGTTGCAGCCTGGTCTTGGCTGGGCCATAGGGTGTTTGGGAGTGCAGGGCAAATGAGAGCTGAGCCCCTTCTCTAAAGCCAGAGGGGCAGTTATCACAAGCTACCGAGGGCAGGGAGCCTGGCATTTCAGCCTCTCCAGCAGCACACAGTAGGTGCTCAGTAAAGGTTTAAGAAAGCTAGAACAGGGAGCGTGCCCTGGACTGGGGTTTGTAATAGGCCATGCCCTGTGACCTGGGGCCTCAGTTGCTCTACCTGCANAATTAAAAAACAACAACAACAACATTACAGTGTGTCCTCTTCCACCTTATTCACCAGATCTGGCACCATGTGACTTCTTGCTCTTCCCCAAAGTCAAAATGATTCAGGACATCAAGGCAGCCACGACAGCGCAACTAAAGACACTCATGAAAGAGGACTTCCAGAAAGTGGCAAGAGGGTCAGCTGAGTGGCTCAGTTGGTTAAGAGCGCGAGCGCTGAGCAACAGAGTCGCCGGTTCGATTCCCACATGGGCCAGTGAGCTGCGCCCAGGCTGAGCTGCCCTGAGCTGCCGACGGCTGGCCGATGGCTCAGTGGTTAGAGTGTTTGCTCTTAGCAACAAGACTTCTGGTTCGACTCCCACATGGGATGGTGGGCTGCACCCACCCGCAACTAAGATTGAACATGGCACCTTGAGCTGAGCGGCCCTGAATTGCCGATGGGCGGCCGGATGGCGACTGGACTTGGAGCTGAACTAGCTGCGCCCTCCACAACAAAGACTGAAGGACAACAACTTGGCTGTTCCCCTTCCCCAGTTCCCCAACACTGTTCCCCTTCCCCAATTCACCAATAAAATCTTTAAAAAAAAGAAAGTGGCAAGAACGATGGGATGAGTGTGTTCAAAGTGAGGGGGAGTATTCTGAGGGGGATTAATAGCAATGTGTCTTTTACTGTAATAATATTTTTTTATTTAAACATTCACTGTACATTTTGATCACACCCTATATGTNTGTTGTCTTCAATCTATTGTAGTTGTGGAGGTCTCAGCTCCTTGGCCCATATGGGAATCGAACTGGCAACCTTGGTGTTATGAGCCTGTGCTCTAACCACCTGAGCTAACCGGTTGCCCCACCACTAACCTACTTTTTGGTCTCTATAGGTTTGCCCATTCTAGACATTTCATATAAATCAAATCATACACTATATGCCCTTTTTTGTCTGGCTTCTTTTATTAGTATAATGTTTTCAAGGTTCATCCACATTGTAGCATGTATTCCTTTTATGGC